GCAGAATTTCAAAATAGAGTTTTTTTTTTTTTTCTACTGCCAAATTTCCCTCAAATATTAACCTGGAGAATTCTACTGCCAAGGCATATGTTATGCTGCGCTGGTTTTAATGCACTGGATAGACTTTTAAGGCCAGATCCTCAATCAGTGAAACTGTATTGATTTACCCTTGCAGAAAATCTGGCCCTTAGAAGAAGAGAGAGTAGTATTTATGTGGAGTCTCTGGGAAGTGAGAGACTCTTATTTTGAAATGCTTAATTAACTTAACAGCAAATGCTTGGGGGAAAAACTAAGCCAAAGCATGCTCTCAGGTCACTAACTGGAGCAAATATGTTTTATATTGCATTAGGGACCCACGTCTGCAAGATGCTATCTGAGGGCTTCATGGTTCCCACGCCTCAGTGCCGGGTACCTTCAAATAGCATCTTGCAAAAGCCACTCAGCTTCTCACAGGATCAAGTTCTGCAAGCCATATTACATACCTACACCTTCCATGTACTGATGGACTTCATTCCTCCGCTGGAGGATTTGGTCTTACATTCCACCCAAATGTTCGTCTCTTCATATTGCTGCACTCCCTGTCGCAGCTGGGGCTGCTACAAGTATTTTATTTTGAATTTTGCTAGTAAGGGAAGTTTGAATATGTGTTTTTATAAGCCCTTCTTTTTCTCTCTCAGTGGCCTGTTGTTTGGTGCATTCCCACTAGGTGGAGGAGACAAAGTCAGGCCCTTGCTCTGTTCAGCAAGAACTGAAGGATTTTTTTTCTGGATGAGACAGCAAAAGGGTTTGAACTGAAGTTCACTTCTCAGTGAATTTCTCCCTGCAATGGGACACATTTCTGCAGGAAGATTTGAAGAAAATTGGCATTTCTTAAAAAAATTGAAACATCTCAGCCAATCCTCATTGCAACAATAATGACATAATCTCCAAAAGGTTAAGTGCTTTCAGTAGATTCATTGGCAGTTTTCCTCCCCCTCTTCATACTTACAGTAAATGATTAAAAAATATGAGGCTGCAGTTTTAACATCAGTAAAACCATACTGGGATTTTATTTTATTTTTTTGTACAAGCCTTCATAGCTCAGGTGTATGAAGTAACAGAATAAAGTTTTCAGCAGCTGAAGAGTTGGCTCTTGGTTTGTTTATTTTTTTAAGCTAGAATTTCTTTATTGCTCAAAATTATATTAATTGATTTTACTGACCAAATGATTCTTGTAATGGCTGAGCTTTGCCATAAGAACTAAATATGACATTTTCTGAAGATACTGGTGATCAGACAGCACAGACTAGTTTTGTGTACTTCTAGTGTAGTTTGTTCAAGCAAAATAATTCAGCAAAAATCTTACGTGATTTTATTTAGTGATAGCAAAACAAACGTTCAGCAGATACTACAGCAATGAACATTGCCTTTTCACTGAGCAGTTCATGCACAGAAGGGTGAAGAGGTGCTGAAGTTTTATGAAAAGCATTTGAGCCCAGTTATCTTTTGCTTTACCACTGGAGTAAGATTCAGGTGACGGATTAAGACACCTACACTGGTGCATCTATAGACATCTATACATTTAAAGCTGAACAAGCAGCTGGAGACCAGGTGGGGTAAGGAAGTCTCATGGCAGTAGATACCTAAGAGAAGCCATCTGAATGAAGTTGTAGTTCTCCATACCAAATTTTAGTTGCCTACAACCTGGAGCTAAGTCCCACCCACTGTTACCTGTGTGATTAGTTAACTACGTGCAGTAACGAAGCAAACAGCAAGCAAACCTATAGTTCTATAGGTGAATGTTTCAGAACTCTGCACCTATTGGCGCATGATGGGATTCAGCTCCTAAACGTAGCTAGTTACGTACTTTGTTCAAAAAAGTTGCTGAGGTCCTGTCTAAAGTGCCCCTCTGTGGGGCATGATTCAGTTGCCACAGTGTCAACTGAGACACCCTATGGAGTCTGTGGCATCTCTAGGGGCTGGTAGATAGGACCCAGGATCTAGAGGAGACCTGTGACCTGGAGCAGATTGTGGAGGCCAGATGAGATGCCCTGTGATCTCTGAAATGGCACTGCAGCCTATGGTTGAAACACTCAACAGTTCCCTCATGACCGTGTGGGGCCATATGTGATTAGTTTTCATGCTTAACCTTTACGCAGCTAAAATTGGATGAGATGAATCCCAGATGAAGCTTATGGCCCAGCCTGTAGCATGTTCTTTCTGTGGTCACCGGGTGGCATTTCAGCAACTCTGTGGTGGTTGCTAAAACAGCTGCGTGTGTCCAGTGGTTGAGAGAGCGCTTTGTTGTGCCTGCACGTCCCATGTGCAGTGCGGCATGAAAATCGGTCTCATTTTATGCACCTCAGGAAAAATAGCAGGGCCCTTTGCACGGGGCCCACAGCAACTGTGAATTGCTATGCAAGGAAGAGAAAGCATGAGGCAGCAGCTGGAGTTATAATAGAAGCGCGATGGAAAGTGTGGTCAATCGAAGGCTGGCATCAGCAGGTGAAAGCATTACCTTGGAAAATGGAAAAAGTAAAGATGAATTAGCTCCTAAGTTCACAGCATCCCTTCTGATAGTTCCCATCGAGAGAAAAGCAGGGGGAGGTTTTTCCTTTGTGCCAAAGCAAGGAACAAAAGCCCACCAGCTTGCTAATGTTGTAGCAGCTCCACCAGGGTGCTTGACTGGTGTCCCGTAGTGCTGGCATGAACAGGAGGGGACGTGGCAGCTTCCCCAGGGACAACCCTGGAGGATTTCCATGAGCACCAAGTATCACAAGCTCTTACAGTGCATTTGGGGTGGACAAAGTGGGGTCAGGCATCTGCAGCAGTGCAGATCTGGAGCGACCTGTGCCCAGACAAGGGAAGAGGTGACAGCCCAAAAGGTATTTGGAAGTGGCAGAACAAATGCCAAAGGCAGGGACTTGAGTCAGCAAGCAACTGAAAGAAACAGCTAAAAAGAGAGGCCATTCCATGGCTTCTACCCCTTTTACAGGCAAGGGGTGGGCCACACGTTGGGGCTGTTTAGAGGAGAAACTGCTGATGGGAGCAGGAAGCTTTGGGGAAACCCTGTTTGTTGGTGAAGAAGGCACCGAGTCCTGTTGTTCTGAAAATGGTGGATCCTTTGCTTCCCGCCAGGGCCCCTCCAGCTGCCACACTCCCCCGGCAGGTCCCGCTGTGGGGCTGTGCCTCCCCTGCCTATACCTGCTCTCCCCTGGACCTGAGCAGTGCTCCCCGGCATCTGGAGTGGAGCCTGCCCCTGCCCCGCGCACAGGAAGGACGTTAGGGGTGGTTCTGCAGCTATCTTCAGAGAGGGCTTGCCTAACCCGAGAACATTTTTTTAGTGAGATTTCCATGTGAGAGGTAGAAATCACATTTGCCTATTTGGGATGTTTTTGACCCAACTTGCTGGTCTTTTTCTCATTGCTGAGTTGTGGTGGGGTTGCTTCACTCATTTCAAATGAGCGATGTATTGAATGGTAGAGCACGTGTTGGAAAACATCAGGAGAACTTACGAGCTTTTCTGTGCCAAAAAATAAAAGTGCACCTGGTTCAAATGTTAATCTACAATATTGCTTTGATTGGACAACAATCTTTGCTAAATTAGATAACCACTAGTGTTGTGGTTTAACCTCAGTTGGCAACTGAGTACCACACAGCCGCTTGCTCACTCCTTCCGCCCCCACCCCGGTGGGATGGGGGAGAGAATTGGAAGAGCACAAGTGAGAAAAACTCATGGGTTGAGATAAATACAGTTTAATAATTGAAATAAAATAATAATAACAATAATAATAATAATAATAATGTAGTAATAATAATAATACACAAAGCAAGTGATGCACAGTACAATTGCTCACCACCTGCCGACCAATGCCCAGCCAGTCCCCGAGCAGCGGCCCCCCCCGGCCAGCTTTCCCCAGTTTATGTACTGAGCATGACGTCACATGGTATGGAATGTCCCTTTGGCCAGTTTGGCTGTGCCCCCCCCCAGCTTCTTGTGCACCTCCAGCCTTCTCAGTCGGTAGAGCATGGAAAACTAAAAAGTCCTTGGCTAGTGTAACACACATCGGTGTGTTACCAACATTGTTCTCATCCTAAATCCCAAACACAGCACTGTACCAGCTACCAGGAAGGAAATTAACTCTATCCCTGCCAAAACCAGGACAACTAGCTGTTGTGTATTCATCTGGGCCAGAAAATGCTACGGCTGTCCAGATGTGAGGGATGGCAGTTATCCCACCTTACGAATCTGAATTAAAGTAAGGATTAGATCTTGCTTACGTGTTAAGAAATAGTGTATCCTTGACAATGTCTTCTGAGAATTTGTAGAAATATTATTTAGAGGTTACATTTTTGAGGGATTTTGAAAGGAAATGGATCACCCCTCAGATCTCTTTGCTGTAGGTGATTATTGCATGAACAGTTCGCTAAAGGTTTTGTGCTTCTTAAACCCATCAGCATCAACAGGCTGTGTTTGAAGACTATTAACTCTCCATTGCAGCAGAATCCAGGGGAAACACCTACATTTGATTATTGAAGTCTGGATGCCACTATATTTGTAGTGCAACCACAAAAATGTTTTAATTAGGTGATTATTCTATACTGTCACTATGACAGGACAAAGATCATGCTTGTGGCAGTGTAGTATGTTATATTTCTAAACACAGTATTATATCTGGGTTTATATTCATTTTAATTTTAATCTGGATACTCGGTTCCCTCCCATGTAGAATGCTCCCTTTGAGGGGGGATAGTATTTTATTCTCTGCATTAGTGGTATAATCAGTGGTAACATAATGTAGGTTTTATCTGAAAGTACGTAGAAGTATGTATTCACTCAGACTTTGGCTAATCTTCAAAACGCAGGACCATCTTGTGGCGTGGTGTGAGTGCACAGGCAGTAACTAATCTTAATATATAGACCACTGAAATCAGAATTGTGTAAAATGCATGTGAGATTACAAACACATCCCATTAACTACGGATTGTTCTTCCAAGGCTTTTAAAATATGACTATAATAGTAGATTGTAAATCCGATTCAAATGAATTGGGCCGGACAGGACTTCTGCTGATCTGCAAGGAGCGGAGAGCAGTGCGGGGCAGCATGCCAGCTCAGATTCCCCATCGCTTACACTAGGACAGCTTAGTGATTTGGCTGGCTTATATTCTGAACTGAAAACTTTAAAACTCTGTTTCATAGACACAGGCTGTGATTTAACATCATACAAAAGATTTTTGTGCCACATTGTCGGTAACTCACGTTAAGATGTGTATTAATGCCACCAAGAAGCTCTGGAAGGTCTTCCAAGCTTTTGGCGAGGACAAGGTTGATATTTTTTGTCAATCCTTCTGTCAATGACCCCATGCCCTTGCCATCCCCATGATGCAAGGCTCTTGTTTCTCTCCTTGTGACCCCACTGGATGCAGGGGGCTCCTCTGGCAGCCTGGGAGGGTGGCCAGGCACGCGCCGGTAGTTGTGCACACCTGGTGTCCTACCCTTCCTCACCCTAAATTCCTACTCCTGTTCCTCTGGAGTGGCTACCTGGGTGAAGAGGAGGCAAAGCTGACTTGCAGAAGGGCTCTGCATCACAAACTGGCACCGTGGTGCGGTCCAGGCTCTGGACAGAAGAGGTACTTGAAGCCTGGCCTTGCAAAGTCCTAAGCACGGGGTGCTGGTCCCCCGAACCTGCTCTGCATGGGACGGGGTCCAGATATACAGCGCCTACCCTCTGTCTGTCCCACGGATCAGAAGGAATTAGGTGCAGATTCTTTAAGAAAGATGCATCGCTTCAGAGCACAAGTGACACATGTATTGCTCCTGGGGAAACAAATGTTCTGTTAATGAATTGCATATGCCAGATCATCTGGTACCTCTGAGAGAAGGTGCATGGATGAGTCTTTAACATGTATCTTTTTAACATTGGAATAAGCTGACGAAAAAATCCAGCTGTCACTTGCATTAAACCCAAGTATCCAAATAAAAATGTGTGACATCCAGCCTCCCTCCAAGGTTTGGTTACATCAAAAATTATCTGGCATCAGAATGTCATGATGTGTTGGAAAAAGAAAAAAATAGTGTAGCAGTAATTGAGTGGTGGC